ATTGCAAAGTTGTATCGAGAAAGAATAAACTAGTTTTAATTAAGAAATGACTTGTATCGCTGAAGTTTCTCAGAAAGAATTTATACCGGAAATTAAAAAACAAGCAGATACGTAACAATATCTAGTTTTTGTTTAAAATACTGAATAATTCCATAATCTTTTAGACTATGAAATATCTAAAACTTTGTTTTCAGACTATTTTCAAAACAATAAATAAACTTACTTTAGTCTTAATCTCATTTTTCTTACTGTTAAATAGAGTTCCATTTTATATGTATGAAGTCATTTTCAACTTTATTGATAATCATTAACATTTCTTTTGATACTTTCTTTTGTAAATTACAAGTCATCATTTCCAGCCATAAATCAGGGAAAAACATAGAAAAAAACAGAAAGATGTATCATGTAACCATTACCTTTGTCTAAGCATCATGATTTTTGTTAGAAATATTCTTTGTAAAAAAAAAATATAGTTTCTGTTAAATAATAAGTTATTATATTTATATGCAATGTTTCAGTATAATAAACTTAACAATAACATTCAATTGTTAATTATTTAAGCCATTATTTAAGTAAATTTGCCTGATGTTTTATCAAAGTAGAAATGTTCTCAAGCTTAAAAAAAAAAAAGATATAATTTAACTTAAGACATTTTCAGTAATAACAGAAATGGCTAAAGGAAACATAAAAAAATTCCAGATCTCCAGTTTGTTCTTAAACTTCCAGTTAGTTTTCCTTGTTCATCTCTGCAGGAACTCCATCTAGTTACACTCCCATGGAACCATAAATTAATAATTGAACCACTTTATTTTCTCTACATTGATGTAAGTAGTTTATAGTCTACTCTATACAACTGTATTTACATGTTGCATATAGTTGAGTAACTATTTAATGGTTCATACACAGATTTCTTTTCTTTTCACCAAAGGTAAAATTGAAAAGATAATCTGTGACATATGGGACATAATGGATTCTTTACTTTGTTGTGGACTGCACTTTTGCCTATTCAAGGCTCAACAACACAGCTTGGGTCAGCAAACCAAAAACATTGAATTGGTTTTTTTTATAATGGTGGTAAGTATGGGGTTTTTGAGTCATTTTTAATTTACCATATATTAACCTAAATTAATGTAGGTGTATGAATCGTGTTATTGCATTGCAGCCAATTAATCATTTGATGTTACACAGCAGACCAACTGTTTAATGATTATATATATTACAGATTTCTGTAATTGACAAGGTAATCTGTGATGCACAGTCCTAAAGCATTCTTTGATTCACCTCATCCTCTGCTGTGGACTGCAGTTTTGCCCATTCAAGACTCATCAGGTTACTATATGGTGAGTTAGAAAAAAAGACTCAAATCTGGACTTCATTAGTTATTCAGATGTCAGTTTGTGTCATAAAAGGGTAAGAGTGAAGCCAGTAGCAATAAAATCACTAATACAGATTGAAAATCATGTGTGAAACAGAACATGGATCAAAGGATAATAATTTTTTATTAAATATAAATCTATACGCTAGGATGGGCAGAAAAACTCAAAACAATCTAACAAATGCATGAAATGAGAATTGGGATATTTTTAATTTTTCTTTTGAAATAACACAAGATTACTGTTGCAAAACTACAAAATAATTTGAAAATAATTTTGAGTTAGAAATTGTTGAAATAGAGATAGAATTATTATTTAAACTTCAATTTTGAAATTTGATATGTATATGTGTACTTGATATCTGAATAATGAGAAGGTTAGGTGTTATCTGTTAAACATTTCTGATTAAACAGACAAAGAAATGGATACAAGTGAAAAGGTAATTTCATTATTTCAATACCAAGAATTTTGGGGTAGGATTAAAAAAAATTCCATAAGCAGAAATCAAAAGAGAAGGCAATTTTGATTTTCATTTAAAAACAAAGTGTTTAATCCACCTCCTATTTTGTAAACTTTTACATCAGAAAACTTCACATCAAAAGAGTGAGGATACAGTGGTGCACGAGGACCATAAAAATATTCCCGCACTTTTGCATCTCTTGATTCTGCTCGAAGAGACTGGTTACGCTCCACAACCTGTGACAGTAATTAACAAAAGCCATGTAATCCAGAAACAGAAATAACAAAAGTTAATATATTTAATTGAATATATTAGAAATTTGTATTGAAACTACATAACCATAAAATAACATAGATGGTAAAATTTTGCCAATCTTAGAAGTGTGAAACTATACATACTATAACTCTGAATTTATTACATGTATCTTCATGAAATTTGGCAAGATTTTAGTAAACACTGAATATTTATTCTATACAAATAAAAACAAACAAAAACCAGGACTTTTAATAAAGTATTTCTACTATTTGTCTGTGAATTTCCAAAGCCTCTACTGAGTTAGTACAAGAGAAAGCTTATTTTCAAGCTAAGAATAAAAATACTTCTTTTCATCTTACAGTTTTCATACTTCATTTGCATAACCTATAGATCCTCCAAAATGAATATCAAGAATTTTTTGGTAAAACTTTATTTATTTTCTCAACCCGAAAACTAACTGAAGAGAAAACAGCGAAAAGAAAAGTTAAAAATTATGAAGTAATATTGACATCATACTGCAGTGTTATCATAATAGTAATACAGTATTGATACCAAAGTTCCAAATTACTTATCTTAACAGTTTCAAGTGTTAAGCTTTTATCATCTGTTTTCTTTTAATTTTATTCCCATAGTTTGTACTCACTTAAGCAGCAATCCTTGTGTCAATAAGAATAAATCACAGCAGAAGCCCATTAGCTGTTTCCTGTAGAACTAACATAAACTACACATCATCAGATCGTCATGTTTCACACCATGCTGGAGCTAGTAAAATTTCAGATGTGTTACTTTACTGAAGTTTTGTTAGGCTAAGGTGAGTTTATAATTTTTATATTTTAGTTATTTTTGTTTAAAAAATATATAAAAATAAATAAGTACCCCCCCCCCCCCAAAAAAAGAAGGATTTATAGTACTCACTGCAGAACATGGTTTATGATAGGAAAACTGAATGTATAATTATAAGAGTTACTGAGAAAATAATCAGCTCTTTGTATTGGTTATAAATATTTCTATCAGCTAAAGCTGATAAGCGATATTGAAAGTTGGAGAGAGATTGAGAAATGCTTCTCTGATGGGTTTGAGAAATTTATTGATATTTTAACAAGTCAAGAAGGTATGAGGTTTAAATTTAAGATTCTTGCATGTAATTACATATTAATTTTATCTTTAATTGGTTTGAAACTGTAGCAGTCTACTTTAAAAAGTGGAATATTCTGAAGTTGAGAAATCGAAATTCAGGCATGTCAAGTGTCACAGAATAATGAAAATTGAGATTTTCTACATATTTCTTACTGAAAATAAGAAGTTAAAACTTAGATAATATAAAAATTTGAATTATAAACTAAATTTTCATGACAATTTCATTGATATACATTGGTAATAAACTTATTTGATTAAATCTTGAATGCAACACTAAAAGGCCATGACATGCTCACTTCAACCAATTGCAAAAAAAAGAGTAAGCAAACACTTTATTATAGGAATGAAGCTGAATTTTTAGACACTGTCACTTGTTGAAAACCAACTCCTTTGTGAAAGAATAAAACCATTGGATGAAATATTTTAAGACTTTTGAACTACTTTCTACAGATTATGTAACTTCTGTGACAAAGATACCTTATTTTCATGTGTGACATTTTTATGAATTTGCAGTTCTGAAATTTCTAAAATATTTCATAGTGGTGTTTTTTAAGAAGCAATTGAGATGCTTATTTTTTTTCAATTTTACTAATGATTTTTATGTCTTTATACATTCTTTTAAAACACTCCTGTAAAATTTTTATTTTATAAAACTAAACTTACCTCTGTTTTCTTCATAAAAAGACACAAGCAGTTTCATTTTAAGCCTTTAATTATAGCAGAAGTTGTTTACAAAATATTTTTGTTTCTAGCAACATATTACCAAACTAAGCTTTTATCAATTTGTTCTAGTCTCTATACAAATCTCCATTAAACCAAAAGCCCTTTTAATTTTTACAATTGAAAACAATGGAAAAAAGAGCTTCCATGATGTGTTTAGATCCACAGCTTATGACTTATGAAAGCTGAAATACAAGCAATCACATCACACCATGATAACCAAGGCTGAAAAATGGTTATTGGCTAAAAGTGGATTAAACTACACTTCTGCTGAAGTTACTAGAACAAACTAGCACTATTGTTCAAAGATATTATGGCTATCCTTCAAATGAGATATAAGTGCCATCTTATGCTTTGAAAAAATTCAGGAAGTTCTCAAATACTAGTGATTGCATTGGGAGACTACTGATATCAACTCAATACCACAATTTGTGATTAAAAATTTTTTTAAAATTGAAAATAAATAAATCTTTTTTAAATGAATAAATTTCAAATGAAGTTTCTAACATGTAGAAAAATGACTACAAGTTTACATTTTATAGTTTTTTTCATTCAGACTCCACCCATATGGGTGTGAAAGTTAATATATATGTATTGTATTTTGTCTTATAACTGCTATGCATTATAAAAAGGCATTCATGAATCTTGCCTTACATGCTATCAATTTATAAATTTAATACACATTTATGAAATTACATCTCCTAATAGTACTTGAGTAGGAAAGCACATTGTGCTAATATAATAACCAGTCAGCAAACAATGATTCATAAGCATAATAAACCATTTAATTACGCTTATAAATGGTTGTTTGCCAACTTATTATCTCACAGTAAGATGACTAATAAGTTTTAAAATGCTTTCATCTATCTTCCACAATTCAGATTCACAGAACTCAAGAGTTTACTAATTACATTTTAGTTTCTCATTGTGTTTTATCTAAGAAATGCTTGAACACCCAGTCTTAGTGTAATGTCACTTTTAACAAAAACAACTGTGATTGAAAATATTAAAAGAAACAATAATTGGATACAAGAACTTAAATACAAGAAACAAATAAAAAACATGAGGTTTTTTTTGGATACTTTACAAGTTCCATCTTGTAAATAGCTAATTTTCTCAGTACTGTCTAAAATTATGCAGGTGTTCAAAATTAGGTCTCATATTTCTTTCCTCATTAGATCATTACCACAGCTCAGTACTTTTAGAGATTAACTCTCTCACTACAGGCTCAGTCCCAGGGTCTGACTTCATAATACAGTAAGTGTATCTTCACAAAATTTGGCAGACTTTTAGCAAAGTTTACACAACAACTCAGATTTTCTAATGAAGTATTTTTACTAGAGATTTTTCCATGAATACAGATAGTATTTCTATATACTAGTCTGAATGCTAAGTGATTTATGTTAAGATTAAAAATAACTTTTTTCATCTCAAAAATCTCAAATTTTATTTGTATAAACTATGAAATCTCCTAAATAAATTCCAAACTTTTTTCAGTAAAACTTTATATTTTGTCTGTTAATTTTCTCTACTCTAACTATACAAGGTTGATCAAATTGACTGACATCATAATAAATCTAAATTACCCCCTTTTTTTTTTCTAGAAAGACTTCAAATTGTAATATGAAACTACATTTGTTTATCCTAAATAGTTTTAAACTCACAACAGTATACATCTATCTATACTGACTAATTACTATATGCACCATCAAAAGTTGTAAATCACTTGGAAAATGTGCAGCTCAAATTATGCTATCAAATTACTTTACCCACAAGCTGTTCTGAGCTGCTGACATGTGTGCTTCAGGAAACATTTATATCATTATTTATTTCACATAATCTAACCTTAACTGACATAAAAGATTACTATTTTTTACATTTTAGTTACTTTTATAATATAATAAATAATACATATAAAAAAACAAGAAAAAGTACTTACCTAGGTAAATTTTTTTTTGCTGTCAATTGTCATTTACACTTAACTCAACTTTTTTATGCTAATGGTAGTAGTGCACTTGATAATTTATTTAATCAAATAATGCACCAAAGGACACAAAATAGTAATGTGCAAAATGCAGAAAATGTCCCATAACTATCACAATTTGTCTAGCTTTCTAACTCTATGATGAGCTGTTAGGAATTCAGCTAAGCTGATCGATTTGTTTCCCATGGGAATAAAGGTTGTAATGGAAGATAAATTGAAAATTTTCTGTACAGAAAACAATGTAATAAAATATGTCATTGTATAGATGAAAATCCTGGCTTTCTGTTGGTTATAAGTACTCTAGTACTAAACATCAGAGAGAACTATTGGCAATTTCTGAAAGAGAGGATGTGACAGGAGGGACTTGTTTATCAATTTCATGGGTCTGTAACTAAATAAGATGGAAGAATATAAAAATTATGCACTGCCAGCAATGACAATATTATGACAAGTAATTTACATTAAATTTCATACTTCTTGGAGAAGTGGTAAATATATTAGAGAAGTTGCTTGAGAGCAAATGTCTCAATTCTCCTAGTAGGGGAAATTCTAGATTTTTTGAAATACTGCCTTATAAAATTAAAAACTTAAAACTTAAATACTATTAATATATGAATTATTAGCTACATTTTTATGCTATTTTATTAGTGTACCAAGAAAAGAAAGTAGTTTACTTAAATTTTGATTATAACACACTAATACCTTGTGACATGTGCAGAAACAGATGGCCATGGTGAGAAGGTTAATAAGAAATACATTTTCATAGTGAAAAATTGCATTTCCTCAATGTACTGTACATGAATTAAATTTTGTTTTCCCTTAAAATGTATCCTGACTATATTTAATTCCTTTTAGTTCACAAAGACAACTTGCTGTTATAGTATGAGCTTCAAGATAAAACTATCAAGCAGAAAGAAATTGACATACCTACCTTGCTTCTTATCTTGTTCTTTGACAACATTTTGGTCTCTAGGTTATTTTATAAGTACCCTGAAATAAGTATCTAGGTTTAACTTGACCAATAGGCAAACAGGATGCTTTAATTGTCCATTGTCTGTGAGATCCTATTTAATATCCTAGTCCTGAAGTAGAATGTAGTCACAAAACAGGTAGGACAGCTCTTATAAAATGCCACAAAGT